AAATAGTAGCTTCTGGATCTGTCTGCCACTCATTCTGTGACCTTGAAAAGTTCACTCAATTTTTAATTTAAGATATAGTTTAATTTATAAAATAGGGATAATAATACTTGTATTACACCCATATTATAGATTGTGAAAGCTCTTTATGTGTACACAAAGAGTTATATAAATGTGAATTTTTATTGTTATTTTTCAGACATAGTACTTTAAGGGCAGTTTATCAGGGGGAGCTCTCTGATCAATGCCTCTCCTCCCTAAAGCCTTCTCCCTAAAGCATGTCTTTTAGACATGCTCATTGGCACATTTTCAAGAGGACTGATGAGTAACAAGTGTTATCTGGAATGGGGATAAGCTAGAAGCCTTCCCAATAAGATCAGGGATGAAGCAAGGATGTCCATCATTGCAACTATTATTCAATATTGTACTGGAAATGTTAGCTACAGCAATAAGACAAGAAGAAGAACCCAAAGAAATTAGAATAGGCAAGGAGGAAACAAAACTCTCATTCTTCAAGAATGATATGATAGTATACTGGGAGAATCCTAGAGAATCAATTAAAAAACTAGTTGAAATAATTAACAACTTTAACAAAGTTGCAGGATATAAAATAAACCCACACATATCATCAGCATTTGTATATATTACCAACAAAGTCCAATAGCGAGAAAAGGAAAGAGAAATTTCATTTAAAATAACTGTAGACAATATAAAATACTTGGGAGGCTACCTGTCAAGAAAAAACCCAGGAACTATATGAATACAACTACAAAACACTTTTCGCACAAATAAAGTCAAATCTGAACAATTAGAAAAATATTAATTATTCACAGGCAGTCTGAGCCAATATAATAAAAATGACAATTATACCTAAATTAATTTACTTATTCAGTGCCATACCAAACTACCAAAGAATCATTTTATAGAGCTAGAAAAAAATACAAAGTTCATCTGGAATAAAAGGTCAAGAATATTAAGGGAATTAATGAAAAAAACAAGTGTGAAGGAAGTTAGCCTAGCAGTTCCAGACTTCAAACTATATTACAAAGCAGTAATCATCAAAACAATCTGGTGCTAGTTAAGAGATAGAGTGGTGGGTCAGTGGAATAGATTGGGTACATAATACATAGTAGGTAATGACCATAGTGTTTGATAAGTGCAAAGATCCAAGCTTTTGGGACAAGAACTCACTTGACATTTGACATTTGACAAAAATTGCTGGGAAAACTGGAATGTAGTTTAGCAGAAATTAGATATAGACCAACACCTTACGCCATATACCAAGATAAAGTCAAAATGGGTAAATGATTTACAAATAGAGGGTGATTTGGTTTGGTTATTTTTCAGTTAAATCTGAACCTTCTTGACCTCTTTTGGGGTTTTCTTAGCAAAGATACTGAAGTGGTTTGCCATTTCCTTTTCCATCTCATTTTACAGATGAGGAAACTGAGGCAGATGGGGCTAAGTAACTTGTTTAGGATCACACAGCAAGTAAGTGTCTCAGACCAGATTTTTTCTCTAAGATTTTTCTCTAGGCTCAGTACTGTCTCTACCACACCACATAGCTTCCCATCATAAAGGGCAATACCATAAGGAAATTAGGGTAGCATGGAATAGTTCACTTGTCAGAGCTATGGATAAGGTAAGAATTTATGACCAAACAAAAGATAGAGAGCATTGCAGGATGCAAGATAGATAGTTTTGATTATGTTGAATTAAAAATGTTTTGCACAAACAAAACCAATGTAGCCAAGATTAGAAGAAAAGCAGAAAACTGGGAGAAATTTTTTTCAGCAAATTTCTCTGATAAAGGCTCATCTCTCTCTCTCTCTCTCTCTCTCTCTCTCTCTCTCTCTCTCTCTCTCTCTCTCTCTCTCTCTCTCTCAGTTAAATTTATAAGAATAACAGTCCTTTCCCAATTGATAAGTGGTCAAACGATATGAATGGGCAGTTTTCAGAAAAAGAAATCAAAGCCATATGAAAGAATGCTCTAAACTCTCCTGTTAGGCTGAGTGGGAGAGAAAGCTATAGGCAAGCACAGGTAACTCCTAAGTGTTTCTGAAAAAGAAAAAAAAGGTAATGGGACTTTTCCATCTGCTATTATTGTGCGTGATTCAGACTGTTGAGTTAAATAAGAAGGGGTATTGCTCATCTATCAACTCCAAAGTGTCTTTGTCTCTTGGGGAGAATCTAAACCACAGATTGACACTACAAGTCTGGAAAGGACTGTGTAGGCCTTTGTAGGAAAGAAAAATTTTATCCAAATGTCAAAGGAGTTATTCTAATGCCAATCCCTAGTTCAGTTCTTTTCTGAGGGGAGTTTATGGGCTAAAGTGAATACTTATTGTTTTTTATTTTCTGTTTTTAGGTTCCTGTGAATTATTTGTACCTCTTCTATTTCTGTGGAGTAAATAAAATAAAGATTATCTTTTACCTAACATGCATTTGTTATATGAGTGCTCACAGAGGGGATGTGAGTTTTGTTACTCACATTTGTGGAGACTGAGATATGAGCATTTTTGGAGATTTTCCAGAGTAAACTCTGAATTGGAACCTAATGAGTCAAAGGAAAAATGACCTTGAGTTCAGCTCCTGAGATTGAAACTAGTGGATTTTACCCTAGAGCTTGTGGCTACTGCACCACTGGTAACAGTACCAGAGCTCCTCAAGTTCTGATGCTCTCTACACAAGTATGATTCAAGTATTTATGGTATTTAGTTCAAGGTTATAGGTGAGAAATGTGTGTACCACTAACAAAGGTGACTGTGGTTTTGCTGAACAAAGCAGAAGTATTGCTTCACTTGTGAAAAAAGAAAACCAAGGGTACAACAGTAATGGGGAACTAGCCAATAGTGTCAACAAGTCCAAGTTCCAAAATGAGGCAACCACTCCTAGAGAGAGATCACCCTGGTTTGCAGAAGAACAGAAAAACCATGAGTTAAGTACAAAGCTGGACATGGGGTGGCAGAAGGAGGGCGTGCATCAGAACAACTTTGCAGATTCACTAATCTTTTTTAACCATGACCTCCTAGACTGACCCATGGGTCACAATGCAATTGTAAACAGTGCATCAATTAGCACAGTGCCTGGCATGCAGTAAGCCCTTAATAAATGCTCTATCTATCTATCTATCTATCTATCTATCTATCTATCTATCTATCTATCTTCTGTCAAATGTCTGTCTGTCTATTTCTCTCAATGGGGTCTATGGTTAGAAGGAGTAGGAACAAGAGAAAGTATTTTCAGTCACAGTGGGAGAGACCATGTTTATTTATTTAGTTTATTAAAGATCCTACATTTTCTTTTCAAAAAAGTAGCTTGCATGGTGCTATAAATATTCTTTGCTTAGTTGCTAAACTCTTTGAGCAAAAATGTTTGCCTATTAGAATATGGCCAGAGATATATATTTGCACCAGGTGAGGATACTGAGGATGCAAAATTGTTTTCAGGTTGTCACTCACTGCAGGAGTGCCAGGATTATCTGTCCAGCAACTAGGCAGGTGAAGGTGTTACTCACGGAACAAGATGATGTTCTCTAATGGAGTGTGTATGATGTATATAAAATCCTGACACATGTTATATTACTACATATAACTGCTGCTTTTAGTATGCAACTTTGCATATATATGATGCATATATGATGGAATACATATTTGCTTGTAACCTATGTCACAGCTACTTTGATATATGATACATATTATATTTCTGCATGTGACCTATGTGTTTTGGTTTATGGCTTACAGTTTTAATTTGGATATTATGTACTATATACCTGCATATGCCATGTGCATGTGATATAATTGCTAATAGTTATATCTATCTGATGGTGTAGCAAGAAGAGCCCTGGACTTGAAATCAAAAGGACTGAGAGTCCTAGCTTTGCTGCTTACTAGCTATGGGACCTTGGAAAAATCACTGAAATTGTTCACCCTCAGGTTTCCTTGCCTATAAGATGGGAATAATAATACCTTCTCTATTGACTTCATGTATTGTTGTGAGGATCAAATGAGATATTATATGAAAAAGTGCTTTTAGAGTAATACACACTGAATTGAATTCAATACTTCCTGGGCATACAACAAGCAAGAGTGCTTCTCATCTTATCTTTTGTTATGATAGTAGATTTAGAACTGGAATAAACCATAGCAGTCATCCAGCCCGGCCTCCTCATTTTTGTTGCTGTTGTTCAGTTGTTCAGTCATGTCTGACTTTACAGGATCTCATGGACTTTTGTCAATGAGATTTTCTTGGCAATGGTTTGCTATTTCCTTCTCTAGTGTGTCCCCGTTTTATAGATGAGGAACTGAGGCAAATGGATTTAGGTGACTCATCTAGGATCTCACAGCTGGTAAGTGTCAGAGGCTGGATTTAAACTCAGATCTTCCTGCCTCTCAGCCCAGTGCTCGATCCATTATACCACCTAGCTGTCTGCTCATTTTACAGGTGGGGAAACAGAGAGAGTAAGTGATTTGTCCAATATTGTTGTTATTTGTCCTTTGTTCTCAGAGAGGACCCCAACATTAGACAGATTGTAAATACAGAGCAGTAATTCTAATACAGATTCTGTGACTCCAAGTTCAGAGCTCTTTCTACTGCACTACCTTACCTCCTATCATGTATTACTGCCATGAGTAATGTTGTAGCCTCTACAACTTTGGTAGAACATTTACAGTTTCTCAGACGGATATTCTTTTCCATTGATAGGAAGAATCTGCTAACTTGTAAATTCCCCAATCTTACAATGTTTCTTAGAAAAACTTTGTCACCTTGCTGTCATTCTTGATAATGAATTTGAGCATTGTACTTGTAAATTTTTGTCAGAACTATTCTGAGATAAAATATTAGCTAGTGGGTGAACTTTCAACTTCTCCCTCAACCTTGAAATATATTGATTGTGAGTAATTCTATCCTTTTCAGTCTCTGAGATTCCATTGCATAAGTCAACAGGTGCATATAGTTCATGCTCAAAGATTATTGTTGTTGTTAATCCTTTGTTTTTGAAGAGGACCAGTGACATCATGGAGTGATGTCTTGACTTGTGCATGAATTGGATTTAAGCGAAGCAGAGTTGTGGAAAGTTGTCAGCCTCTTCCAGAGTCTCTTCCAGAGTCATCAAAGTCCAGCGGTAAGACAGAAGTCAAGATGACTGGTGATGGCTTGGGATGCAGTGGATGATCTTGGTGTCTTTCATGTCTGATCAAGCTCTAAATGCTCTACAATTCCTATTTCAGGGGCCTCTGTGGCCACTGGAACATATTGTTCTCATCTGCTTATTACATGATGAGGGTGGAAGAATGTCTTCAGATGGAGTAGACATCGCCCTAAGTCACTGATGGGTTTGAGGCCCATTGGTAACCCTCAATCTGGTTTACCCCATCTGCTGAGATGGTTTTACCAGGGTGTGACTACTGTGCATGCTACAGCTTCTTCAAGTCACAGGTGAGAGTTGGGTAAAAAGTGGACACAAAGGTAGATGAGCAGCTCTGAAAAGGTCTTGGCAGGCCCTCACACCAGAGGGCTGGTCCTCCCTGAACACCCCATACACTCCTCAAACATTATTAAATATAGTATAAAGACATCAAATTGATAGAGTTGTACACCTGAACTAGAAATGGTACATGCTGGCTTCTCTGAGATTTTTTGTTCAGGCTTCAATGTTCCCAGCATGTCCATCAGTGTTTGATTGAAGCACTCAAGTTGTGGGTCTGTATTTACATAAATGTTATATATTTAAACCTTGTAGGCTTACATACATACATGTGGTCTCTAGGGATGTAGAATGTAAGTTCATTGAAAGCAAGGATTGTTTTTTTTTAATCTTTGTATCTCAGCATGGCACTTGATATACAGTAGATACTCCATAACTACTTGTTGATTGTTTCAATGAATGGTGAAAGAATCAAGTTCATGCCACATAAAGATCTGTTGAAGAAACTGTAGATATTTGTCCCGGAGGAGAAAAGACTCAGGGGGAATGTGATAGCTGCATTTGAGTGTCTGAAGGACTTTCTTGCCAAAGATCAATTAGAATTGTTTTGTTTGGCTCCAGAGATAGCACCAGAGGCAATGGCCAGAAGTTGCAAAGAAATACTTCCTAAAAATTGGAGGCATCTTAAAGTGGAATGGGTTACCTCAGGAGAGAGTAGATTTTTCCTTATTGGAGGTTTTTTAAAGCAGAAGCTAAATTACCAACTATGGGATATTTTGTAATGGGGATTTGTTTTATTATTATATGTTAGACTAGATGGTTGCTGAAGTCCTATCTGACTGAAATTTTATGGTTTTATGATTAATTGGCCACAAGTTATGCAAAGCAAGAAAAAACCATTTTATGCTATTATTTATTTATTATTAATATTTATATTATTATTATAACCATTTTTTGATTTGGAAAATGCATGTACTGTAAATATGATCAGGATCTGGGGATACTGATACATACCGTCTGAACTCATAAGGTATTGGTTGGGTTAGACTAGATGGGCCCTTCCATCTCTAAACCTATGATCCTGTACTCCTATGATTTATAAAACAATATCAACTTAATTCATTCCAAGTGTGAGCTCTAGCCAGCAAGATATGAAATATCAATCATTTGCACAGGGCACTTCTTCTTCATAGATAAGTCTACAGAGGAGATCATAGAATTATAGATTTTGAGCTGGAAGTGACTATCTAGTCTAATTTCATTTTACAAATGAGAAAACTGAGATCCATAGAGAGGAAGTGAGCTGCCCAAAGTTACAGAGGGTAGTATTTGGCAGAAAAGGGATTTGAACCTAGGTCCCCTAATTCCAGACCTAGAACACCTCGCATTTTATCATAGAAGGTTTCTTGATCCAAAATGTTTCTTAAGAGATGGTTTTATTAAAGTTTGGAGTTTCCTTATCACACTAAAGATATTTCTGTCCAGATAGATTATTGTTGATAGTTATTAGAATCAGAACACCTGCTTCCCCAGACAGTACTGAGGACACCCTGACATTTTCCAACTGTTTTGCTCATCTTTTTTCCAAACTCAGTGTGTAACTCTGCCACCATCCTAACAATGTTATGTTGGGTATACTGTGATAAAATTGAGACCACATATTTTTTAGCTTTAATTTTAAAATGTTGTCTTCTAAAAGGAGTTTCCAGAGATACCCTAATCTCATTAACAACCCATTTAGTCACTATCTGTTGGGAATGGTTTACTTTTGCAACTGGCTAATTTCATGCACTTGATAATGATTTTTCAGTTTGCATTTTCAGAGTGTGAAATGCAAAGTTTTACTTCTGTGCACCTCACCTCCCACATTATGGGACTACCCTTTCTTTGGGGCTTATGAACTCCCAAGACACTAATTACCTTCTTCTGAACAGTACCAAGAATGTTAAATCTAACAGAGGATAAATAATCATAATGGTGTTTGAATCTTTTCATGTAATAACACCATATATCTGATATTACATACCATTCAAAATGTAGGTAACTATCTCATGATCATTTGTAATATTTTCAAGCATTTCTTTACATAAATGTAGCCTGTGAATAGCTCTGGCCCGCTCAGGTTGGCAGTGAAGCTCATGGGTGTGGTGTTTGATGTGGCACCTACATCTTCCTTTTCTTTCTCTGTGGGTTGACTCACTCGTCCTGACCTACCTTCATGCTGACAAGTCTAGGGGTAGGGGTGGGATGGGTTCTCAGAGGAGGCTAGCTACATACACAAACATTCTGCTACAATTGGTAGCTGGGAGTAACTCTGGTGTAGGGGAAATAGAGGTTTATATTCCTGATTATAGCTCCTGAGCCCCACTCATAAGCTTCCTATTTATACAGAACACTCATAATGATACTATCACCTCATAAACTTAAACATGAAACATTTACAAAGCAAGAAGGCAAAACCAATCATAATCATAATATAACATTTACTCAGTAGAAGGCAGAAGCAGGAATAATCAAAACAACATATAACAGTTTACCCATGAACCTGTGTCATGCTCTTTTACCAACGCACAAAGTGTTGTGGGGCAAGGATGAATGAAAGATAGAGGAGAGAGGGTATATACTTACAGAAATCTAAGAGTGAGGCTGCAGGTCTAGGTGTGAGGGATAAATTTATACTATAGATCACCAACAGCACTTCTGAGCATCTCCTTTCTCCTATAGGACAAAACTGCCTCTCAACTACTCTCAGGCCACAAAAGCAATGTTAAGCTCTTTTAATAAAGCAAAGCTGTCCCTCTTAACAGATAAATACTAGGCTAATTTGCGGAATGAGACTTTTGGACACCACCAATTTGTTTTACTTTGTTTCACTTGACTATGTTTATTTGTTATTAGAGTTTTGTCTTTCTTTTTCTTCTTCTTCAGTAGGATGAGGGGAAATGCTAAAGAGAGAAAAAATAAAGCATTAATAAATGAAAAAAATTAATTAAAAAAATTAAGCAAAGTAGCACTGAAAACAGTAGCCCCAAGTCTGGGGTCTATAGCTTTCTGAGTATGTTCTCTTTGCTGAGAGCTAAACAAAATTATTTCAGTCAAAAGCAGCTCCCTTAAGCTGGAGAATTGCAAAGCTCCTCATACCTACTCTCTGGACAATGCAAACAAGCCCAGCCAGCTCTTTATCCAGGAGCATTCTGCTTTCTCCAATGAGCTTTCAGCAACTACAGAGCTCTCTTCTAATGAAAACATTTCCCAGAGCAGCTACGGCACTGTATTTATCTTCTAATACTCAAAACTTTTAAAAATGCTTAAAAATTGTTTTAACATGTAATTGGGGAAAAATAAAATATATTTTAAAATGCTTTGATTTACTAATAATAAGATAAATGCAAATAAAACAAAATTCTGAGGTATCATGTTGAACCTATCCCCACCCCCTCCAAGAAATAGAATTGCTCCCATAAATCTGGAGCATACCAGCACTCAGTTACATACATCATGAGTAGGAAGAGGGGATGTATATAGGGATTATTCAAGAGGAACACACATGGGAAACACATATGGCTAAGCTACATGCAGAGTCAAACACAGGGAATAGGTGTGGCTGGAGCATATGTGTAGAGTGGCAACTCATGACTTCCCAGTATAGCAGAATTGCTGCTACTCTCTGGTGATGTCATCACCCTGCCTTCTGTTACTTGTGCCTGTGCCCATTCTCTAGCTTCGTGATCGCTTCATTAATTGCTGCTGAGCTTGTGGTTGCAGAGCTTCTCCCTGATACCAGTATCTGGGCTTTGTCTCTACATGACTATTTCTGTAGTAACATTTTTATTTAAAGCTTTGAGTTCCAAATTCTATCCCTCCCTCCCTCCCTTCTTCCTTCCCTCTCTCTGTCCCTCCCTTCTCCCCTTCCTGAGATGGTAAGCAATCATATAGCTTATACATATGCAATCATGTAAAACATTTCCGTATTAGTCATTTTGTATAAGAATACTCAAATAAAAAAAAAGACTGAAAGAAAGAAAGTGAAAAATAGTATGCTTCAGTCTGTTTTCAAACAATATCAGTTCTTTCTCTGGAGGTGGATAGTATGCTTCATTATTAATCCTTTGGGATTATGTTGGATCATTGTAATGTCGAGAATAGCTAAGTCATTCACAGTTCTTTATCATACAATATTGCTGTCATTGTGTGCAATGTTCTTCTGTTCACTTAACTTTGCATCAATTCATGCAGCAGTTCAGTTCAAGTAAGTCTTTCCAGGTTTTTCTGAAATCATCCTGCTTGTCTTGTCTTATAGCACAATAATATTCCATCACAATCATATACCACAGCTTGTTTAGCCATTCCCCAATTGATGGCCATCCCTTCAATTTCTAATTTTTAGCCACCATGAAAAGAGCTGTTATAAATATATTTGTACAAATAGGTCCTTTCCCCCTTTTTTGGATGGCTTTGAATCCACAAGCTTTTTTTTTTTTAAAGCTCTTTCTATGTGCCAGGCACTATGCTAAACACTGAAGATACAAAGAAAAACAAAAACAGCCCCTGCCTTCAAGGAGAACATATTCTAATGAGAGAGACAATATGCAAACACTATGTACAAACAGGGTAAATTGGAGAAAACAGCAAGGATCTATTGGAGTGAAGGTAAGGAGGATTGGGAAATGCTTCTTTTTGAAGATGGAATTTTAACTGTGACTTTAAAGAAGTCAAAAAAGCCAGGAGGAGGATAAGAGGAGGGAAAGAGTTACAGGAACAGAGAACAGCCAGTGAAAATGGCCCTGAGTCAGGAAAGGGCCAGTATCATTGGATTACAGAATATATGGAGAGGAGAAAAGTATAAGAAGAGGACTGGAAAGATATGAAGGGGAAAGGTCATAAAAGACTTTAAATGCCAAATGCAGGATTTTTTACTTTATCCTGAAGGTAATAGGGAGCTACTGGAGTTAATAAACCATCCTCCAA